TCAAGATAATGTTTTTAGGCCTGTAGGCAGCATGAGCAGTATCATTCCCTCACCCCGTGAATGTGCATTCAGTGGAGCACCTACAGAAATGAAAACTAGCTCAGATTTTAGTTCAGCAGCACTAGGGATCAGGAAAGCTACTGTTTCCCTGACCCTGACTCAGTCTGCCTGCTAAGGATAACTTGGTTTGTCTGTTCCTTGGCACATTTTGTTCTGAGGAGTATCAGCTCAAAAACCTGCTCTGAAGAGCTCTGCAAACAAACCTCAAACCACAATTCTGCACAAAGGGACAGACTTTGTCCTCCCGGATGTGGCTGTTTGAGCAGTGTGAGGCAGTGTGGTTGTGGTCAGGCTCACAGAGATTTTTAGCTGTGTGCATTCTCTTGTGAGTGCTGCACAGAAACGTGGACTACGAAAACCCAGGAAACCCCATTCCTGCACTGCAGAGGGGTCTTAATGAGATTTCAGCTTCATCACAAACCAGTGGAAGAGTTGCAGTAACAAAGACCAATGGGAGCTGCAGCCACCAGCTGGAGGTAGAGGAAGCATTTCTAGACAGTCCCCCGATTCCTCATTGCTCATCTCTTGCTCCCTCTCTTCATGTTTCCACCATGACCTACATTCCTTGGATGTACTTGCCTCCTGATTTGCATATTAATCTGAATAAAATAGCAGCACCGAAGTTTTTGCCCTTTCCAGTTGTTTGAACTATTGTGGGACTCCTCAAATTAAGAGGGTTTTAACAGGGACTTGGCCAGCATGTAGCATGGGCACAGACAGTGTGGCGTTTGTTTGCTGAAGGGGGAGAGCAGGGGCAGAGCAGGACAGCACAGATCAAAACCCTGCATCTTAATGAAGAATATTTCTATTCTGGTTTCAAGGTTTATTTCAGTAATTTAGGAGACAAAGCAATTAATTAAGCACATTGAGCCTTTATACTGTGTGTGTAACCTGGAGCCACACAAAATAGATCCACACTGTTAATATTAGCACAGCTTTAGTACATCTTCTTCCCTTTCTTTGAAGAGAAAATAGAGATGTGCACAATAAAAATTATGCTGGCAGTGTTCAGCTTCCTCTTTCTTGGTAGAACTTCTGCTCTATGTTTGTCCCAGGTAGGGCATTATTTTTGTTCACCTGAAAGCATGAATTCTTAGCCAAACCCAAACCACCATTTCCCAAGAGGAAAATCATCCATCCCCATCCCTTGAGACCCTCCAGACAAGAAGAGAGACTCCAGCTGAGAAGCACAGCAAGCAGTGTGGAGTCACAGACACAAACCAAACAGCTTTCATTTCCACGGAATAGAACCTGATACCCAAATGGACAAGCCCTTGCTGGGAGGTGATGGTTTGGGGTGCCAGGCCTTCCCTGGTGTCCTCATCCAGGGGCTCCTGCACGAGGCAGAAGGTCACACCAATAATATTCACCAGTATGGTGACAATAACAAACTGCAGTGGTATGGACAGACTTTCTCACCATGATTTTTGTGTTGTATTTTCTTCCAGCACTCCCCAATGGTAGTTTTCCCCTTTGCAACAAAGAGGTACAGCTTCACTCCAGGCTGGGATCAGCTCCAGGGCAGACCTCTCCAAGCAGCCACTGTGACATCAGGTGACACTGACCCTGTGCTCAGCGGGGAGCAGCTCAAACTCAGAAAGTGGTTCTGCAGGCACCAGCCATTCATTCCATCAGGAGCTGTCACAGGGGTCTCTGGAGAGATTGTTTCACAAGTGGTTCCCTTTTGAGGTAGTTTGGGATGTTCTTACTCTTCCACATGGTCTGAGCCCATTAGAAAGACCTCTGGGTCTTTATTCACATTTTTAGAAATGTCTCTTATTCTCTAAATCAAGACTATCAGCGCAGCCCATATTGTCTCTCTGTGGATTTATCTGAGATGACTCAGCTTCAAGGCTAATGTGGTATTTTAGAATTTCTGATAACCTTTAATGCCTCTCTTCATTTAGCAGTGAAATTCAAGTGCTGCTTCTTGAGAGCCTTTTGTGAACCCAGAGGCTGCATGGTTCCTGCAGGCTGATTATTCCTTAATGTCTATGTGGGCTCCCTCCAGGCACAGAACACTAGTTTTGCAATGCTGCTCTGAGTTTATTTTAAAAAATTTATTCAGATGGTTGCCATGAATTCTCAAAGCAGAGAGAACACCCTTCTACTTATTAAATACAGCTCTCACAAGCACCAAATAGATCTTTTTGTAGAGTACATTTGCATTAACTCCTGCAGCTCTCTGTTCCTTAATTAGTTCCATACGCACAAGTCCCCAAGCATAACGCCCCAGCGAAGAAAGTGAGGCTAGGATTTAAAACAAAAGAATGAAAATCCCTCATTTTAGTGTGCAAAAGGCTGAAACAGCAGCTCCTGGTCCAGCAGCGACTCCCACACATTGACGTGGATGTTAAATGAAGTTCTAAAGGAGTTACTGTGTCTGGAATCCCTCTCTCGCTGCCAGGACGCTGCTGTCAGGCGGGCAGGATGCGCTGCTCCCGCAGGCTGCCGCTGTGCCCAGGGCAATTCCAGCCCCTGCTCCGCCCAGCACGACAGAACATTGCGGTGCCCCCACGCCACCCGTGTGTGGGCGGCCAAGCAGAGATGGCTCCTGGAATCCCACCAGCCTCCCACCCCGGCACACCACGGGGAGATCCGGGCGCTTGCTTTGCTCTTCCAGCCCTTCCTCCTCAGCCCTGCTGTTCTGCACTCTCCTGGCCGCGTTGTCATTAATTCACAGAGGCAGGGCTCCGATTACAATTCCCCATGCAGCCGGGCTCACGTTGTGTTACCTGTGACAGGGTCAGGCTGGCAGGCAGCAGCAGGAGACTCCCAAGGCTGGGCATAGCGGGGGTTTCCTGCCTGCTCTCCTGGAAGGTCAGGTACCAGGCAACTTCTTCATTCCTTGCATTTTCCCAACTCACACAACCTGACTTTGTTCACATAAGAAGTCTCCCGGCGTGGGGGCATTGCCAAGGTGCAGAAGTCTCTTGAAGCTGACACTTGCCAGGGCCCTGGTCAGAGGTAACCCAGCGCCGTGGCTGCAGAGGTCACAAATGGCAGGCTGGTGAGGAGTGGTATGAGCAGTAATGATATCCAAGCACTGCACAGGACTTTATTTCCATAATACCTGTGGATGTGCTTCCCCCAAAGACCTCCAGTTACTGCTATTGAGAGTTCCAAGTCTTAATTATGTCTTCTGATGGTAAAGGGTCAGAAAAAACTGTGGAGCAGTGTGGGATCACAGTGTTGTAAAATGAAGACGCTCTGCATTTCTGGCCATCGTGAGCTGAAGCTGGGAAAAAGCTGCCATGTGTTGGTATGGGGATGTAACTAGTGCTCTAAATACCAAACTTTCAGCAAAATACAGTGAGATTCAAGAGCATTTGCTTAAACTATTTCTTGGCTTCAGTCTGTAATTTCAGAGGCCACGGCTGACCAGAGCAGAAAGGGACACTTACCATGACTTAGTATGTTGGTGTGCCAGGAATGCTGCTCGTGGCTGAGGTCCAGATGAACTTTCACCATTACCCTCCTAATAATTTTTAAACAAATGATTAGCATCAGAACTGAGACCCACCTGACAATCCAGACCTGCTGGTACTTTAAAAGGAGGTTTCTGCTTGCCTTCGGAGAGGTTCTGATGCTGCCACTGTGACCATTTTTCACTTTGCCTGGAATTTACAGTCTAACACTGTATCAAGGAGCCTATGTTTTTGGTGTTTTTTTTTTTTTTTTTTTTTTTTTTTTTTTGTTGGTTTTTTTTTTTTTTTTTTTTTTTTTTTTTTTTTTTTTTTTTTTTTTAACAGGGTCAAAGTTATTTTTAATTATTGCTCTTTAAAGCATACGTGTGAGTGCCAGTTGTGGAAGGGGTAGCAATTACCCTCCCTGTGGGCACAATGCACTAAAAAGATAAGCTAAACAGGGCAGACCCATTTTTCCCCTTAAAAGCAAGCATTAGCTTCAATTACAAAACACCTATTTCCAATCAGGTGTTTTCCCCTCAACTTGGAATAGTAAGAATAAAGTGCACCTTAATTCAGCATTCTCAAATAATGTAAACAGCTATGCTTGTATTTTATAAATTCTCCATTCTCCATTAACATTGCTTCTGTTATTTTAAAGACCTTTTTCAAAAGGCAGCTTTCTGATTTATGTATTAAAGCCTATACTTACGGCCTTCTGAGAACCACTGTGCAGATTACTCACAGGCTCTACAGTGTCTGGCCATTTCCCCTCAGGTATCAAGACAACCAGAGTACACCTGGCAGCTTGGTGACTGTGCTCCCAGAGTTCTTGTGCCCAGTGACGTGCAATTCCAGAGAAAATTCCTCAGGAGCAGGACAGCTTCTCTCAGTGGTGGGGGTACTTACTGTAGCCAGGACACACACCACTAGTAAAACATTTCTTGGTAAAGCCCAGCATCATGGCACAAAGAACATCTGTTTTGGCTATGGAAGAAACCCGAGTTTAATTAGTGGCTGCTTTATTCATGGTCTAGGTATGTAGTTTAGGCTGCATATTGTTCTCACTCAATTCTTGCAAACAAAACAAACTGAGATTTTAAATACAGCAACATCACTGGTTTGACTCAATGCAAACACAGGCTTAAAAGAGTTTTGCCAAGGGATTTATATAAAGTCTCACTGAAACTGAATAATCTCTTCCACTGGCTTCTCCTGGCACAGTCTGCAGCAGAGCTTTTCCCCCCACATTCAGGCTTTTTGTGCATGCTGAAAATTGAAAACTACCTAAAAACAACCCCCTGAAGGTGCTGCTTGAAAAAGAAATTCTTCAAAAGCACAGCAAGGACTTTGCAAATGACTGTGCAGGAATAAGCTCAGAGTTTGTGATTCCCAAACTCATGGCTACATGACTGATTGGCTCTTCAATGTCAGTGAAGACCACCCTTTTTCTGACCTCCTCTGAACAGCATACCAGGATTACACAGAGCCAGAAAAGACTCATGGGTGATAAACTGCCAAGAAAGGAAGTCATTATTTTCTTTCATTACAGTGTATTTTTACTGTGTCACACATATAAACAGTAGAAATGAGTGCAGGAGTTTCACTGAAATGGTCCACAACATTTCCTATGGCTTTTGCAATCACCAATTCAAATCTGAACACCCACATAATTTTTCATTTCAAACACTCAACCCACCCACCCACAAGAGACAAATATTTGTATAGTTCTTTTATTGAGATGATGTCAACCTGGAAACAGATGGACAGACAAGAGGAAGGGGAAATACACATTCAGTTAATAGGAGCAATGAATCCTATCAGTCATGTCCACAAGGCAGTTTGCTACACACTGTGAGATGCTGTCAGTTGGCCTGTCCAAGTGAAGGGCATGTCCAGAGTGTGCCTGGAGCATCCCAGAGCATCTGAACACTTGTCAATGCTGTGGCACAAACAGGATTGGAAGAACACACCAAACTGAGCCCTGGGAGTGCCTGTGGATTTCCAGGGAAACATCACATATAAGATATAAAAAGGTCTGGCCTGGTGGTGGGTGTTAGATGGGGATGCTTTGCTCGAGATATTCTAACTGTTCTTCAAAAAATCTAATCTGCTCTTCGAGGTCCTTCTGTTCAATCAGCAAGGATGTCTTGACTTGAACAAAGTGTTGGTAGTCCTGGAGCTGCTGCTCTGTCAGGTATTTGGCAAGAATTCCAGAGACCACACGTTCTCTCCGGTCCAGATTCTCCTTCAGGTCCTTTGCATCTTCCCGCTGCCGAGACAAGAGCTTGTGCCGTTCATTCAGTGATTGCTAATGGAACCAAAAAACAAAGCAGCACACCATGAGAACCCATCATTCCTGCCAGGCTCTGTTTCTTCATTTGGAACCACAGTCAATTTAATTTAATTACTTCCTCTTGTGGGCTTTCCACCTGAGTTTTTTCTCAATTGAATTACTCATTCTTGTGGCTTGTAAGGTAAAGACACAATAAATGCCATCAAGGCTCACTTCTCCTATGCTGCCCTCATGGAAAAAAATCAATATACTAAAAATTCTGGTAATTTTAAAGTATCCTGTAACAATCTTCATTCAATTAGAAGCTCTTTAAGGTATGTAGCTTTGTGTTTTGTGTGTTGCACGTGCCCAGAATGCCACTTACATATTAAAAAGACAGAGTAGATTCTATTAAAAGATCCGCGTTGATGCCAAGATGATTTTTTGCCTTTTCTTTTATACACCTTTTATATATCCTCAGTACTCTTAGCATGCATACTTGCAATTCCTTAGGTCTGATAACTTAGCATAGTGCTGGTATTCTGTTAAGCCAAGAGATCAAACACCTGGATGCCTTACAGCTGGAGACCAGAAAACCCTAGGGGTATCTTGGGAAACCAAGGTCCTCTCTAGAACATATCCTATAAAATAAGATTTAGCCCATCCAGGGGGGAATTCCTTGGGATGGGAGAGGTCATGCCATTCATCCAAGCCTCTCACTGGGGCATCTTTGTTAGATGTGCTGATTTGTAAGGTCTGTAAACTGTATGTGCCATCTATCATGTGTGTGCATTCCACCTTAGCAAAGTGGGGCACCATAAAGATCCTTATTAAATACCAAGGTAAAGACCCTTTATCATGTAACCATATCTGGCTCTCAAGTTTTTAAGACCACGAAAAGGCATCAGTGTGATAAAATAACAGTGTGATGTAGACAGTAACTGTTCATCAAAGGCTTCTTTTAGAAGAGTTGGGCCTTGCTTATTTTTGTACCTTTCACCTTGAGCTAATTCTCATTCAGCTGTAATAATTTTCATGGGGATTACACTGCTGGAAAATATTCTGTTTCAGGACAGTGTCCATAAATAGAGCACAATGCAATGGTCACTACTGACACCCTAAAAATGGAGTCAAAGATTGAGATTGCTGGTTTTCCTGACATGAGGGAAAATGCAATTAGTAGAAGAAAGTTGTTAAAAATTGTTGGCACTTAACCAAGTCTTAATTAGGCAGTTTATTCAAATATTTGAATAAATTATTTAAATGTGTTTCCTATGAAGAATATAAATGTAATACCAGGGAAACAACACCCTTCCTGCCTACCATAAAGTGAAAGTAAGCATGTAATACTGTTTAAAATTATTCACATTAATACAACTGACATTTTGCAAGAGGCAAATCCTGGCTCTCTTTGTCACACTGCATGAAAGGACATTTTTAGTGCTATTCTGTGTGTGAGCTATGATGAACCTCCAGAGATACAGGTCAGCAGCAACACAGCTCCAAAAAAATCCCAGTTTTTCTAACTCTATGCTTTTCTAATTTCCAAAAGAGAGATAACAGCAGGTACTGCGTTGATAAAAACATGATTAGAGCAATAAGCATAGCAGACAAACATAAATACTGGGAAAAATTTGGCTTTTCTTCTTCAGCAAAAAGGAGACTTTGCAAGATTTGAAATTATTTCTGATGACATAAGACAATTCCTCATTTTCCATCAAAGCTGGCTACTTGAGTTAAACTACAGTGAGCTTTATCTCAAATTATGACCACACCTTCCTGCTCGCTAGGACAAACCCATTTAGTGAAATATGATTACAAAGGCAAGTAATGAATGCAATGAAATTATCAGTGAAGAAATAAACCCACAAAAAGCACAGGTTTGGAGCTACAGGGAGCAGCCCAAGGTTCCAAAGGCCACCCCCCTGGCTTGGAGCCACTCAAGGTTTTGCTGTTGGCCCCAGCACAGAGCTGCAGGCTCAATCTGCACTGCTGTGCTCCAGCACTGTCCTGGTCCTCAGCAGGGACTGCTCTGCTCTGCTCCAGCCCTGGGGACATGCCCATCCCGGGACATAAAGAAGTCACACCTGGAAAGAAGCGAACTAAACCAGTTCAGCACCTGTGTTGTGTCTCACCTTCTCCTCAGGCTCTGTGTTGCCATCCATCCTGCTCATGGCGTTCTGGACTCGGGCGAGGCGGCTGGACAAGCAGAGCAGGAGGCTCAGCACCTTCTCCAGGTCCCCAATGAACATCAGGTACCGCTCAAACTCGTTGGGCTTGCACAGCTCCCGCACCAGCACCTCCAGCTCCTCGCCCCACTTGGCACATTCCCTGACTTCCATGAGAACCAGCTCCTGTTCCTCCCACAGCGCCTGCAGCCTGGATTGGAGACTGGCCATGAGTTCCAGCTGCAAAAAGAAAAAAAAAAGATCACAGGAACTGTTACTGCCAAAGAGAATCCACATCAGTTCTAGAAATTCACATTGTCTTTGCCAAATTTTTGACTTGTAAAATAATTTTAAGCTACAGGAAAGGAAAAAGGGGGGGAAAAGCAGTGATGTTTTCTAAGCTGTACTTAATTCTTAAACTCTGAAAAGCAAATTACTGGTAATCACCTTAGCTGGTGATATATTCTCTGGCTCAGAGAGCTTCCAATCAGTCAGAAGGGAACTGCAATAAAGATTACAACATGATTACACAGAATTGTTGTTCTAAGACAGGAGCTTGAAGTTCCAGCTCTGTACCAAGCTTTGGAAGAACTGATTGGAATTTCACTAACCATACACACAGAAAAAGTCAGTTCCATGGGCAATTCAAGCAGGCCATGGTGCCAAGGTAGAAAAGCAATCAGAGGAGGCTGTTTCATGTGAGTCCCACAGTTTCATAGGGAAATTAATTGGAAAAAGGCCTCAAGAGTTGAGTGTGAGCACCATGGACAATGCCACCATGAGCAGGAGCAGCAGTAAGACAGCAGATGATGTGCACAGCAGGAGGAGCCTCGGGAAGGCAGATTGTTGTAATGTGAGATGCAGCATGTCCAGGGGAAAAGCCCACCTGACTGTGCAAAGCTACAAAATCACCCTTCCAAGCTCCATACTTCTGTCACTGTCCAGCTGTGTCCCCCATTCTCTGCATGCATGGAATTAATTTGACACTGGAATGTGCAGAAGCTGCTGCCAGCTCTCAGAGAAAAGAACATTTCTTATTTAGGCTGCCAGTTCTGATTTATTTTACAGATCTAGAGATTAGATTTGAGTGTTAAATTTGGAGTTTGCTGCTGCTGCACAGGAGCTGGCTGTGCAAGGAAACCTTTCATGATGATAGATGAGAGATCTAAGTCAAATCAGAGAGGATTTAAATAGCACCACTTATGATCAATATACGAGTTTTCCAGTACTTTACCTTCTGGCAAAAATTGATTCAAAGTTACCTGTGAAATGTTATTGGGATAAAAATATCCATAGCAATAATGACATTAGTAAGAATTTCTTTGTTGTGATGGAAAAACAGTGGATCTTGTGATGGTTATCTACATACTTTCTTAGATGTGATGTCATCTAGCTCATTTGTGCAGTCTCTGTTTCTCTTCAGGACTTGGTTTCTCATAGAGGCAGGCTCTTTGCTCCTTTGCTCGGTTTCATGTTCAGATTTTGGACATTCTTCTGGTCCATCTCCATAACTTTTCCTGCCATTGAAAAAGAAAATAAATACCCAAAGCAAACGCTTACAGTTTTCTTCACTAACACTGAGTTCATGGTTTTATCCATCCTGACTTCAGGATCACTCTCCTCTCTTCTCACCACAGGAGATCTTCTAAATTTTTAGAAGATACAGAGCAAAAGATTTGCAGCCTAGGTGTGTCAGAGTCCCTTTAATAAGGAATCACTGAACTACTTTTCTTCCATTATATACTCTTAACCTCAGACGTTTTTTGGTATGTAAATCAGAAAGCAAAAATGAAGCAACGTGCTCAAGTTCATCTTACTACTAGGATGTATAATATCTATACATTAAAATAGACCAAAGTGCTAGATAATTGGTTTTGTCTACTTACTCATTCTCCTGAACATGCTGCGCCTTTCCCCTTTTCCTGCGTGATTTATCCAGCATGGAAATGTGGACAGGAAACAAACCCTCCATCAGGTCCAAAGCAGTTTTTCTAAGAGGATGAGGCATGAGAATGTCCACCAGAGAGCTGTCCTTGGCAATGATCTCCATAGCAAGCTCCTGGCATCGCTGCTCCTGAGGAGACTGTAGCCTCCTTTGGGGCAGGTGAGTCTCTCTCTCCAGGGGAACATCATCGTGGCTGCTGTGCATGGATGCTTCCTGGGCAAGTAAACCTCTGGCTGGATGTTTGTGTCCTTGGTGAGGCTGAGCTGGTGCTGTGTGGAGAAGCATTCCCAGCCCTGGAGAAGCTGCAGGCTGCTGCTGTTCTGGATGCTTGAGTGCAGCATTCCCACTCACAGAGTGAGTTCTGCATTCCTCCTCCACTCGAGCACTCCCCTTGCTTCCACTTCCTGGGACAGGAATGGAGGTTTCAGGAGTCTGCTCCTTTTTATCCTGACCACACACATGTCCAGTTATGTCACTATGTTCATGATTCTTGGGTCCATCTTTCTCAGGATCATGGCAGCTGTGGGGAAGAAGACAGTTCCTTTTATTTGAGACATTGCCTCTATGACAGATTTTTTGCAGACTGTTTAGGAGTTATGATCAAATGTTTCTGATATTATTGTTCCGTCTGGAACTTCCAGTTACTTTTATGCTAACCGGCTAAACTAGGAAATTTAAGAAAAAATTTAATTTTTTTTCCCCATAAGCCATTCAAGTCTCCAGAAACCACTGAGATATTTTTTTGAAAGAGTGGAAATTCTTTTTCTACAGAGGAGTCAACATCACTGCCTTGCTGAGACAGATTTCAGATGTTTATCTCCCTTGGTGCTCTTCAAACTAGCAAAGCAAATGTGGAGAGTTAAAACACAAACTTCCTAATTAGTGACGTGTAAATGGCACACTTTTTTTATTTCCTTTGAAAACCACACCAAAATCCCCTATTGCAGCAGTCCTGATCACACATCTCCAGGCCTGGGCACCTCGGAGCTGTTGGAAATGCTGTTTTCTCCAGAGCTCGGATGAGGGAGCTGTGATCCCGGAGATCTGATGGATCTGCTGGAGCGCGGCTGGCACTACACGCGGTAGGAAGGATTTAAAAGGCTGACCCGGACAGCGCGGGTGAATATTCCATGTGGGAATGAAGGGTTCGAGAGGGAAGCGGGGAGCAGCGCTGGGACACGGCTGCAGCCACGCAGCTCCCGAGCCTTACCTGGAGGCGCCGGGGCACGGTGCTGCCGCACATCTGGCACATCTGCACGGGTCCTGGAAGGGAAACAGCTCACTGCGGCAACCAGCATGCCAGGAGAGGCAGCTGCTCGATTTTACTCCCATGTTTGTTATCCCCAGAAAGAGAAGCTGATAGTAGAGCTCCAAGTAGGTTCACTGGGGTTTGTGCTTTTTTCTTTGTATTTTTTGTTTTTGTGTTTTTTTCTAGGGAGAAATGTTTGGGTTTTGGTCGTTGTTTTGTTTTTAATCTTTGGGCATGTTTTTGTCTACCTCTTTTTTATTAATTAAATTGCTATTACATTCTTTTACTAGGTAGCATCAATTTTTTTTCCCACCAGAAAACCAAAAGAACAGCTGTCAACAAAAGATACCTCTACTCTCTTAACAGTTCAGAAATTCAGCATTAGTGGAAGTTTGTCAGTCTCTTCAGTAGGGTAATTTTAGTGGTATGTTTAATTATTTATTTTTTGGCCCTTTATCTTCTTTATTCTCCTCAACAATATTGACAGCTACTGTCCTTCAAATTCAGAAGCCAAAAAAAGTTGTTTATTTAAAAAATTCTTCCTCTAGAATGATCTTTTTTGGCACTTTTTTGCTGTCATTAACAATAACGACTGCTGGAGCACAAACAGCCTCATCCTGCATACAGCATGTGTTCTCTGCAAATGCATTTTCCAAGTGCCAGAGTCCCTCTTGACTTTCTTTATACCCCGTTTAGGTGCTGGTTTCTTACCTGTATAGAAGAGGGAGTGGATTTTGGTCTCTCAAGAGCTCTCCCAGATGCAGAACCCCCTGCCTGTGGGAGACTTTCAGCTGATGGACACTTGCTGGTACAGCTCCCGTCCCCCTTGCTGGTCCCATTCCGTGGGGGAGCAAGAGGCAAAGGACGAAAAACATCTGGTGATTTTTGATCAGAGAGAAGTTGGCAGAAAACCTCATCATTCTGCATCTTCCTGCTTCCATTTGGGTTGGAAATCTGGTCAGGAGGACCCTTGGGATTTGACAGCCTCTTCTGCAGGGGTGGCTTATGCAGTGGGAGGTGTTGTGAACCCCCTGGTCTTTGACTGATCTTTCGTTCCATGTATTTGATCAGTGCACTGTGTTGGATTTGTTTCAGCTCTGTCCTGGAGACACCTGAACTGGAAAATGCCTTTCCTCTGTTCTCCAGATCCCTTCTCCTGGATGCCACTGTACCTTGCTCAGCGGTTTCATCCCTACCTTGACTCCATGATACTTCCTTATCCATTAGGTGATTGAGCTTCTCAGGCTCAGAGTAGCAGAGTTTCTTTTGCTCTTGGGTTACCCTTTTCCTTCCCCCTGCTTGACCTTTTTGTGGCCTCCTTATTTCATCATTTCTGTTGAAACTTTCCAAGGATTCTAGATGAGGAGAGCAAGGAACAGGTCTGGCATCCTCGCTTGCACTGGATAACGAGAAAGACCGAAGGTGTTCAACTGATGGCCTTTTAGAGGATTTCTGTCTCAATCTGACAGGCAAACTCATCTGTAAGTCTTTTCTTTTAAAGGAGGTTTCTTTGAGAACCTTTTTCTGAGCCACTTTAAGTTTCTCTATGTAGTCATTCTGGAAAGTCTCTTCTGTGAATGAGGCAGGACTCCTCCAAATGAGATCTTTGTTCTGAAGCTGGAGATCATCAGCACTGCACTGATGGTGGTGGCTGCTCCTCTGAAGCTGATGGCCTTCTCTTTGTAACTCTAGACACTGTGCTGAGGCAGCATAGCTGCTTGATGGAATTTCCTTTGGTGAGCTCCTTGAGTCTTTGTTGGGGTGCAGGACACTGGTGGTTTTCCCTGCAGAAAGATAGTAAAGCATGGGAGTTGCCTGCCTGGTTATTTGCTCACCAGCCTGCTCCTCCCAAAGCTGTCTTGAGAGCTGTGTTTGAAATACAGGCTGGTGTTTCTGAGCAGGAGGTTCCTCCTGTTCCAGACACGTGCTGAGGTCAGGACTGCTGTTGTTACCCTGATTTTCTTTCTGGACTTCACGTAATGACTGAGATGTGGAATCTTCCTTTGGTCTGAAAAAAGCCATTTGGCTTGTGCCATCACAACACTGCCTCCTTCCCTGATCCAACTGCTCACACTGAGGGCGCTCCACTTCCATAGCTTTGCAGCTGCAGGACAGTGGTGATCTCAGCACTTTGTTTTGCTGGCTTGGGACTAGTTCCCTAATATTGCTCATAATTTTTCCTTCAGAATCATAGCACTGATTTTTGTCTGCATAACTGTTCAGCTTCCCGGGAGCATTTTTATTTAGAAGAGCATCCTCCATGTATTTTAATTCCAAGCTGTCCTCAAACACATCCTGATCCATGTCTGAATGCCACTCAGCATGGAGTGGGCCCTGAGCACAGGGCAAGGACTCTTTCCTCTGGCTGGGCCCTGGCACAGCGCTTGGCAGAGCTGCTTCTCTGGCACTTGGCTTACACACACCCCTGGGACACTGTTTGACTTCCTGTGTATCATTAACAGCATTGGGGTTGGAATGCGCTTGCTGATAGGATTTGAAGTTCATCTCTTTGGGAATTTTGTTAGCATGACCTGAATTATACGCAGAAAGTATTCTGGGGACATTCGTTACAGAGTCTGTCTTTAAATATTCTTGAAAAATGAATGATGAAGGTCTCCTGAAAATGTGTGGATTGCTTCTCTTTGTAGGTTGTTGTGAGAGGCTGCACTCTCCATTTTCTTCTGTCTTTAACACCTGAGCTTTTGAGACCTCATCTGTAGAATCAGAGGAAAGGCCCTCGTTTTCCAGAGGCTGTTCCCCATGAGGCCCTACACCTGTCCGTGTGACTGCATGGCAGCGCTGGCTGCGTGGTGCCTCTCTGTCTGCTGGCTGGCCGTGCTGCAGGCCGGGCTGCACCGTGCCCTCAGCGTGCCCTGCGGAGCCCCGGCTGTCCCCGCGCCCGGCAGAGGTGGCACAGCTCTGGGACACTGCCGGCGCTGCCAGGGCTGGGGCACCCTCATCTGCAGTCCTTTGGGAAGGAGCAATTCCCTCACAACAGCTCTGGGAGCTGCTGTGGGTGCTCAGGCCCTGGCGGGGTCTGAGGGCAGAGTGTGCAGCACTGAGATGATAAATTCCCGTCACATACTCCGAGTCCATGTACGGGCCCTGCTCTGGAGGCACACAGGAGGATCCACCATGGCACGATGGTGTGGGGTACTCTGGAACGTTTGATCCTCCTGAGAAAGAGCTGTAAGCAGAGTCTGCCCTTCCAGGGAGGTCCGTGCTGCTGATTGACTTCACTGACAAAAGATGATCATTTTCAGGAGGGGCCACAGGCTCTAGCAGCTTCCCAGTTCTGCCACCTTGCCTTTGAGTCCATCTTTCTATCTTATTCCCAGCTGAAGTCATGGTGTAGTACTTCCAGAAATCCAAATATGATTAAAACTCCACAACTAAGTTGTCAGAAATGGACATTTTTCTCTACAGTTACATTCCAATCCTATCTAGAGGATCCTAAAAAGAAAGAGAAATGTGTGAAAAAAGACTCGGTGGGAGGATTCTCCTGGCATATCTTGGAAAAATCTTTCCCAGAGTCCTAGAAAAAGGTGTCTGAGACTTGACAGAGCGTTTTGGTGAGACATTCTGCTGTCAGTCCCAGGTCACAGATTTTAAAAGGCGGCCAAATGTTTATGACTGCAGCTCAGGTTCCCTGCAAACCCCCAGATGCACTAGGAAGAAGCACCAGCATAGAGTTCATGTATGACAAATACACAGTTTTTGCAGAGTCTGGAAAACAACCTGTGTTTATCAGCAGCACTTGCCAGTTGCTCTCTGATTGCTGTGCAGGATGCCCATAGGTTTAGTTTAACACATGGATCTTCACAAGCAGCAGCCAATGGGCCAAGCAGGAGATTCTCACACCAACAGCCTGACCCTCTCAGCCACCCTGCCAGCTTCAAACCCCCTGACCTGCTCCCAGGCAGTAGGAATCCCAAATAAAAGACTGAACGTGGCACCAGAGTGGTGCTATCCAGCAACCTTGTTTAGTAATTCTCATTTTAAACCAGCTCTAGAAACTGATTAGTTATTAAAAGAAAGCAAACAAACAATCTTGAAAAGCTTCATCAACAAGTTGCTTCAGTAAAAGGCCTTTTGAGGAGACACAAACTGTATCCAGATCCCTCCAGAATATTACATGTCTGATTTATTCATAAAGGTTGACACTAATCTGCCATTCCCAATATCACATTTCTGTGGTGGGACCCCGAAAAGCTGGCAGAAAGAGCAGAAAGAGAGGTTCCAGGGTGATGTTTCTCTTTAATTAAAAAAAATAAAATCATCACATTCCTGCCTTGTTTCAAAGAAAGCCCTGGTATCATTCATTTTGAGCCAAAGGAAGAGATGGATAGGAGCCAAAATACACAAGTTAATCTATAAATGAAACTTGGACTGGTGGGGCACACTAAATAAATTAACTAGTTTCTGGGAAATGAAAACAGCCTAACCACCACAAAGTGGTAATCTGCCTGCCTTTTTTTTTTTTTTTTTTTTTTTTGGTTTTTTTTTTTTTTTTTTTTTTTTTTTTCTGGGTGTCTTGTTTTTTAACATTTTAGTAAGTTTAAAACACAGCTGTGAAATTGAATTGTCTGTCCCTGAATGACAGGATCACAATGGAAGTGGGAAGCTTCAATGGCTGATGATGCCATTCCCCATCCTTTTCACCATGGTGCATTGAGGAATTTAAAGAAATAAAAACTTCAGATACTTGGTGAAAGGAAAACCTTGGATTTTCTGAAACCACTGAGGAAAAAGAGCCTTGAATGACTGCAATGCCACGAAGTGCAGACTGGGAGGGGACCACAGTGTATCCCAGTGCAGTGACAATTCCCAGGAGTGCCTTGGAGGTCTGCCCGTGGCAGTGACCACTGGGAGAGCTCAGAGGTACCCAGAGGTGCTGAGGGTGCACAGGATCAAACCCCAGAGGAGCCACATTCCACAGAAGATCCAGAAGACAGACTGCTCAGTTATTCTTATCTCCCTTGTTTTAATTAAATTTTTCTCCCAGTGGAACCTCTCCAAGCAGCTCTTGCTGATGGTGCTGTAAATAGATGGAGTCTTTGTCTGGTCTTTGTCTGGGATGTGCTGGCACAGTTCCATGGGAGTTCATGGAGCCACCCTGATTTACAGTGAGAATTTGGCTCTAACTTTTCTCAGCAATGTGCAGAATCCAAGTAACTGTTGTGATTTAGTTCATGTCTATCAGTGGCAGCACTCTCCTGGTTTCCTATACCAGACATTCCCAATATCTCTTTTCCCCCATTGTTTCAAGTTGCTCATTGGGATTTACAGTGAAGTTGGCAAGAAAGAGAAGAATTTTTGACTCAGGTTTTTATGATGATACCAGAAGTAACAGGAAATATAATTTAAGTATTTTAGAAGACTGAGGTAAGAAGACCTGACTGATACTGAAACACACCTTAGGAAAAACCTGTCTTACTTCTTTTGAAGAGGATTATTTCCTAAACCCTGGCAGCAGAATGGTTTACCTCAATGTGTTCAAAGTAATATGTGGAAACTGCTCTCTCTTTCCCATGTAAGAGAAAATCATGAATGTCCCTAAAAGTCAACTGACAGGAACAATGACATTATTGCTCTCCTGGGGAGGTGGCAGAGCTCCCTCATGGCCTGTGCTGTCTCTGGGTCTCAGATACATTCTGGCAAGGCTGGAATACCATGTGCCATTCCAGACCCGCTTCCAATACCTGCATTGCAAACCAATGAAAGCAAGAAGAAAAATTAAATTAAATTATAGTATATCAGAACCAAAGCCACTGAAAGATGAAGGAAAGTGTATTAACAGTGTAAGAATACAGGGAAGTATACCCACTCCATGCCCAAGGAAGAAATATCAGCCACTATCAACCTATTCAATTCCAAAGTTGTTTGCTTGTTGTTTTTTGTCGTTAAAAATAGAGGCTAACTTAACTTCCATCCACATCAACCTGTTCTGTTCTAGGGAAAGATGATTTGCATTGCACAATCTTGAATTCTTTGCAACCAACTCAGTATGTCAAAGCCTGATGTCTGGCAAATTAACTCTACAGAGAAAACCTAGCGACTCCAGACCACAGTCAGTGAACAACTTACCTGTCTTATAAGGGAAAGATTTATTATAATTACAGTTTGGTCTTGTTTGACCTCATTTAGAGTTTGCCAGGTGCCATAATTGATCTGTAACTCACCTGCACTTATATACAATGCTTGCCCAAACAAATCAACTCCCATCAGACACACAGGTATTCTCTCTCTCAAGTCTCTGATTTGCCCTCAACAACCCAGGAAAAACAGCCCCTGGCACATAACACAGTCTGCAATAATTCGTGCACTTGTGGAGTCCCCTTGAAATGATCAAGACAATCTTTCCATCACAGAAGCAAGAATGAGAATTTCCCTTAATAAACACAAGCAGAGTTCAAACCTTCCTAGCTCTCTTGTTGTGTTTTTATACAAATGGCTCCATGAAAATAAAGGGGAAACCCACAGCTGTTGATCTGGATCAAACTACAGTACACAAGTGCTCTCCAGAAGAGAACAAGTGTGCAAACCACAGAGCAAACACCTTGACAACCTCCCAGTATTATGTCATGTCCACATTAGTGAATGACCTGTTCCTTATCAAAGGGTAAACACTGGATGTAAATATTAACTGAAATTCTTCAGATTCCAGTCTGTTGCACAGGCTGCAGCACCTGACCCATCTGCTCCCCAGAGCCTGAGATCTCATTGCTACCAAAAGATCACCTGAGAGACTCTTGCTTTAGCAGGTGATCCTCCTGGCTTTCCCAGGGCAGCCCAGAGAGGCCAGAATCCTGGGGAAGTCAGGTGCAGAATCCCGGGGAAGTCGGGTGCAGTCTCTGGCATCCCAGAAACCTTCAGGAGGTCACTAGCTGGTGATCCAGCACAGGTTCCCAGGTCTCCATCCAAGTCTTCCTGGACAGAACCCATGCCCCTGCACAACATGGGTGCATTCTCTGAGATATGAGATGTCTGGAAATAAGAGCTGCTTCTTTCACCAGACTCTGAAATATCCAGAAATTCCAGACAAATGTCTGAAGTCTTCAAATTCCATCACTTTGACATGACTGTTGAAAGGATGAGAGAAATGGAAGGATACTGCATTCAGGAAAGCACTGCCTTTGTGCCCAGCATCTCTGAAAGTCACTATTTCTCTCTTTCTCTGCCTTTTCTTTTTGACAGATATTTTCCCTTTGTTATTATTTGTTTCTAGCCTATAATAAAAAATTTTATCCCCTTGGGCTTACAGCTTTAGGTTTCTAACATTAAGGCAAACATAGCAGATGATACTGCTTTTGGTTGACTGAAAAAACACACTTTCTGCTAAACTGTATTATTTTGCTAAGATTTCTGTAGACTCTAATCCCTGTTTTTCTCATTCAGTGCAATCTCTAGAACTATTGTACAGGTAGGTAATGATCACCAAGGATATTGTACGTCAACACCCAAGGACAAAATCTCACATTTGGCTTCCAGGTTTAGTGGAAGGCTCACCCGGCTACTGGGAAGTCAAAGTGTTCACACAGTCCCAAAACAGAGCCTAAGTGGGATTTAGAGGAGGTTTATGCCTTGTGTGCACAGAAATAAATTTCACCACAGTTTGAGGAATGTAAATATTTCCAGTAAAACCCATGGATACACACTTGAGGCTTTCTGGGGCTATCAAAGGGTCATGAGAAATTTAGAGAAGGATGAAAGTAACAATAACAACAATAACATTAATAATATTAAAATTAACAACAACAACAATGCCTATCAGTATCCCCTTTTTTTTGTGTAGGGGCATAGACAAACCTTCCAAAACTTCCCCACCCTTCTATGCCAGGCTCTCTAAGGAAGAAAAGATCCCTAGTGACCAGCAAGGGAGTTTTGCTGGAGCCACACTACCAGAATGGGTCCATCCTACACCTTCCTGGCACCACTTCCCAAAGGGATGACATCCCACTGATGGACAGGAACATTTGGCATTTTTCTAACATGCCTCCTGGGTGATGAAAAGCTATGGCCCAAATAAACTGCTTTTGGAAGGGAGCTATGGCCCAATCTCTGGCCAAGGAATTAATGAGGAAGATGAGGTTTGGCAATTCTTCACAGCCCCATGAGAGACCTTTTCTGAGCACTGAGCACCCAACAGAGTCTGACCTTTTAATTAGAGCAGTCACCCACTACATACCTCTCCATTGTCCTCGAATTCCCTGACTTTCCTTATGCAGCCTTAAAAATTTCTTCTGGTTTCCACCAGCATCAGTCTCTATTCTATTAAACACCAAACACTTACTGTTTCTTCTACCTCTAAGTGCTTCTCAGAAAATGATTTTGCCAGAAATCAGTTTAATCTCAAATGTATGCATTTCTTCTCAACCATTTCCATTTCATCCCTTCTAATGTCATAATATTTTCCTTATTTCTTTTTAAAATCTAATCAAGTTCATTTGATGCCATAATATTAGCCCCAAAGTGTTTTAACAGGCTACAAAAACACCACAAAAACATTAAAAAATTACGGACTTTAAAGTACTAAAAATCAAAAAGAAAAAAAAAAAACTAATGACACTGTTGATTCTTAAACATATGTCTTTAGAATGACTATATATATATTATTAAATTAACTAATTAATAGAATGTAATTAATATCTATAATAAACATGTTTTCTTGTTTTTATCATGTTGACTGCTTCCCAGCAAGGCAATCCAAGAAACATTAGGGAAAAATAAAATTCTCACAGACCCCCTGACCTGCTCCTGGCTGCACTGAGCTTCCCACAGCTTAGGCAGCAAGTCAAGCTCACAAGAGAAGAAACTGGCCTTAAAACAGGGGTAATCCAGTTCAACATCCCCTTCCACTGGCATGGTTTTAGTCCAGAATCCTGTGAGTTGGTAGTTAGTTAGCAATTTATGCAAGCAGTTTTAAAACATGTTCATTATTAATTGCCTGTAATTTGAAAAACCCAAGTGCTTATTACAGGCAGCTTCACCAGCTCCCACACATCCCAAACCCAACATATTCCCAGCACTGCCTGGATCAGAATTTGCCTTTTGCAAATTTATCAGAGCTCTGGGAGAGCTGACGCTCACTCAAACTTACTAGTGAGGGTTGGCAGACTGGGAAATGTCCTGGAGACATCTTATCTTTGAAGAATTGTGGTTTTCTGGCACCTACATATGCTTTATTCTAATGTAAAACTATTCTCAGAAACTTTATGGATGGCTCTGTAGTTGCAGTCCAAGAGCCCTTGCCAGAACAACACTGCAGATTCCAATTTCTACACGCTGTGGTTATGTTTACCTCAGACAAACCTGCAATGAGAACAAACATTCCTGCTGCAGCTCCAGTTTTAGGCAAGGATGGATCCAGAGGCACTGACTGGGGAAGGAGCAGCATCCAGTTCACCTCAATGAAGTGGGATTATAGATATATACTCTTTATCTATCATATAAGTATATGTGTTTATATCATTTAAATTATGGCTTCAGATGGATCAAAAAGTTCATTCTCTGGTCCCTTAATGTACAAAGAAGCTTTTTGCTGAACTTTGCAAGCTTTAGACTGTGTGCTATGAACTTCATGAAGATATAGAAAGAAATACGTCTCTCCACTACATTCCCAAAGTAATTTCCATCTAGGGAATACCGACAGGTAAAATATGGGATAGGGTGACATGGTCAAGCTGGCTCACCTAGATTATCCCTGAGAACAAGAGAGCACAGGAATCAGCTTGTGGTACCTGGAAAACTTCCCAACACTGAACACAAGTGAGGAGGAGACTGAGGACATGAGAGAAACAGAGAGAAAGCAAGCACAGATGTGGAAGTGGAGCTCCACCTAACAAAACAATCTCCCTGGACCTCAGAGTGTATCTCACAAACTTAAATTCTATTCTGCCACACCAGTAGGACTCTGCCTTGCCATGAAATAATTTGAGTCCCACAGCAGGAGCAGAACCCAGGCCTCTGCCTTCTCAGCACTCCTCCTAACTACAAATTCATTTTTTTAATACCTTACTACCCTCAGGAAATCATGTAACTTTTCCAGTCTTTCATAGCAGCAGTCTAAAATATAACTGGCAATCGATATTAGCACTTCCATTTATAAATCAAGGATTATGAAGTCATATCAATTAATGTGGTATTTTAAAAAAGCCATTAGCTCTTTCTTATTTTGACATAGGAGACGGAAACTTTTCCTTTCCACAGGATGTCTGTTTTCAGCCTAATCCACACAGATGTTAAATATAATTACGCCTGCCTTTGGGCTGGAGTGGACAGTAATGCAATATCCATTTACTACAGAACATTCCACTGGAAAAAGAGGAAACCACCAAATATACACAAGAAATAATATATTAGACTGCTCTGTTCCTTTGGCAAATATTGCATTCCAGTATTTTCCCATAGCTTTTGTTTGGGCAGAATTCAAAATGTTTATGCTTAACCTCACTACACATATCTCTGGTCTCCAGAACAAAAAATGAAAACCTGGATTAGTAGTTTAAAATAATCTGGAAATATCCATTAGAGCAGGTTTAATGGTGGTGGTGGGGGGCTGCTCAGAATTGGGGGTAGAAATCAAGCCCTTGGTCCACAAAGAGCATCACAGAACCACAGAGTGGTTGGGTTGGAAGGGTCCTTAAGAATCACCCAGTCCCACCCCCTGCCATGGCAGGGACATCTTCCACCAAACCAGGGTGCTCCAAGCCCCATCCCACCTGGTCTTGGACACTTCCAGGGATGGAGCAGCTACAGCCGTGCCAGGGCCTCAGCACCCTCACAAGGAAGAATTTCCTCTCAGTATCTAAACTAAACCCACCCTCCTTCAGCCTCCCTCCAGACATGCTGCAAGACTGGCAGGAGATGACAGAGGAAAAAAGCTGGGGAAGCACAAATTAATTCAGTTCTGGGACAAGGCAGCACTCAGAGCTTTTGTGAGAGACCTTCCCTAAGCAGGTGACTGCAGGACAGGTTCACCTCTGGTAACAGGTGAGTAATTCAGAGCAGTGGCAGTTTCAGTGATAGGCTCTACTGGGTACATAAAAGCAAGGGACCAAGAGATTTCCTGTCTGGAGCACTTCATACCAGCTAGTCTCCATCCAAACAGAAAGGTGTGAGTTTTTGCAGATCCACCTTTCTATATTTAACCCATTCTACAGAAATTCCCCTCTGAGTTCCCAAATCAGTCCTCTATAATCTGCATTTCACCATTAGCCTCAAACATTGCCTGCGCTGAAGAATCATTAAGTACATTTTGTGCCAAAGTAGCTATTTTATGCATTAAAAAAATATATATACCTGCCAGACCCTTTAACTGATCCATTTACCACAGACCTAGATTTTATTTATTCTAAAAAAACCCACATAATTTGTGCACTCAAGGATAGAGCAGAGCTCCTGTGACTGCATTAGACTCAGGTGACACTCCAGACTGTCCACGTCCACAGCAGGGATACGATTGATCCCTTACACACTACAGCACACTGATAATTTTAGGATTTTAAAGATAATTTTTCTGTTACAACTTCAATTCTGTCCTCAATTATTTGGTTTCATTCCCACATTTCCCTATGAAAATGCCATCAGAGATCCCGAGGACAAGCCCTGAAGTTCAGGTGGCCTGAGACAGCTTCCAGCCCCAAGTTAAACATTTCAAAATGCGGTTTTAACATTTTCCAACACACATGCTGCCCCTTCCTCTGTTTCCAGGCTGGCTCTTACAGAGGGTGCCTCAGATGGGAGCACATGGACTTTGGCAGCAGATGCACCCGAGAGCTGGGTCAGCCCTGGTGGGGGAAAGGGTTGATAGAAAACGCAGCAGCCGCACTCCTGTGTGTCCGACATTTCTTCTCCCAGCACCACGCAGCAGCTCGTGTCCGGCCTGGATGGGCTGATGCCCCACGTTCCGGTCATCCCTGCCCAGCAGGACCATTGGCCCTGCCTGCCCCTCGCTGCCCAGCTGGGATGGCACCGTGTGCTGAGCCTCCCTGCACGATGCCATGGGCACAGGGCACACGCACCTGGCTGTGCCTCCAGCACCCAAACCCACCCACTCACACACTGCACACACCCGCTGAGGCCAGGCACGTGTGGGGTGTGCCCCAGCGCTCAAGAGACGCTGCTGAGGGGAAGGAAAATCTGCTTGACAGCCCAGACGAGTGAGCTCATCCACACGCACTCAAAGGTCTGCAGCCGGGATCTCACTGCATCCCTCCCCACGCACAGCCACTTATCCACAGCTGAGGAGCAGTGAGAGCATGGGTGAGCAGAATCACGTTCTCCAGACTTACAGCAAACACAACACAAACAACAGAGTAAGCAGAATGTTCTTTTCATTCTTTTCTTGCATAAAGCAAATATACAGACAGCACAGCAACTGCTGCAGACAGTATGTACCAGGTACAGGCATCTAAAATACACACACACACACACACACACACACACACACAGACACACACAGACACTCTGAGGTGTTGTTTGGCTTTGTTAGAATCACAGAACTACAGAGTGCTCTGGGTTAGAAGGAACCTTAAGCTCACCCAGTTCCCCGCTCGCTGCCACGGCAGGACACCTTGCACACAGTTACCTGCGAGCTCCAGCAATTGAAGGAATGAATGTTCCCAGCGAGTACAGCCAGCGCACATTCTCTGCCGCCAATACTCTCTTTCTAAAAGAGCAGCAGTGCTCTGGCCCCACACTCCGGCTGAGGAGATCTCACAGCGGCGGGCAGAACTCGTGCAGCCCAGCCCGAGCGGGGCCCCGGGGCTCCCGGTGCCAGCGGCCATTCCCGCAGCACCGGGACACACCGGGCACAGCCCGGCCGGCTCCGCCGGGCGCTCCGGACAGCGGCGGAGCTCAGGCACAAGGCGACGAGCCGCAGTGGGCCGGGCCCCGCGTTATCTCCCGGTCAATCATCCACAGCCGCGCCGCGCCTGCCGCCGCTCCCACGTGGGCACCGCTGAAAAATTCCATCAACACGCTCCAAGGGCACGGGAGAGCGGGCGAGGCCGCTGCCCTGCCGCCCCGAGCATCCCTCCAGGATGTCCCCGCTCCAGGAGCATCCCCTGCTGTCCCCAGCCCTTGCCCTGGGGCACTTGAGAAGCACTGCTAGACAACAACTAATTAAATCCAACTGAAAGTAGTTAGTTTTAATCCAACAAAGGAGTTAGATTCGATTTTCTTAAAAGATTATGTACTGTTTTCTTAAGGGGGAGAGAGAAAGGCGTGTACAGTAAAAGTTAAAGCAGCTCAAGGCAACAGCTGAAGCTCTGTTTTATATGCCACAGTTTTTTTGTGTGGCTTTTTAAATAATTCTAAATATTTTGTTCATAAAAGTGCACAGAAGGCACACAGTAGGCTTTCATGTATATTGTGTGACTCTGAATCAACTCAAGCTTCTGCAATAAGTTTTTTCTGCCTCCAAATATATGTCATGAAGCCTGATATAATTTATAATGGCCTTATTCAGTGAAATGAATTCCCACTAGTTTCCAGATGGGCTTAAAAAATAAGCTGATTTTGTGGCACAATTTTTTCCCTCAAACTAAGCTGGATAATGCCATGCAGGCCAGAGCTCTATGATTTGTTATGAACTGTCTCTCCAGGGAACACTTCCACACTTCCCACAAAAATAATCTTCTGACCTGTGGCTGTGTTTTATGTGTTGGGAAGGACAAAAGTGTTCTCCAGTGGGCCACAGGCTGAGCCTTTGGGTTGTGCCCACCCTGCTCTCCAGCACGGCTGTGCCATCACAGAGAGCTTGGAATGGCTTTGCTGCAGAGCAGCTGGGCAGGACAGGGATCCTTTTGTGGGTAGTCTCAATCCACTTGTCCTGAGCATGAAGAGCCTCTGGAATACAATTCATTGATTATTCATTTAATTAATAGTTCAGGTTTTTCTGTGAGCAACCACCCAGGCTCCCCTTCAAAGCCCAGTATACAAATAGGCCATCCCACAGCTCAGATCTTTTTCACCAGAACATGTATTCAGTAACTCCCCAAGTGTGGAGAAGGGCTCCTGAGAAGTTACTCAGTAACTAACTCGGTGTTTAGTCATTGCACTTAATCATATTTTCACACGGCAGGGACTTGGTATCTGATCAAGTGTTCTGCAGTAGGAGGTAAGGGGACATTTCCAGCAGTCAAATGAGAAGGAAGAAAATCCTGCACTGGGGGAAAAAGGCAAACCTGAGCAACTCTCCTGCCCAGTGATGAGCAGAACTCTGGTCTGGGGGCAGAGCTGCCAACTCCAGTGGTGCCTCCTCTGCACAGGAGCTTTTGTACATTCCTTTTGCCCGTGAAACACTTGTGCAGGTCTTTCAGAGAAGGAAGACAGGTTTGGCACAGTGCTGCAGACAAGCCTGGCCTCAGTCCTACAGGAATAATCCAGGTTCCAGCATGCCACATGAGAAAATAGGGGAAGTCAAAGCCATCATTCCACCCTGCACCTCAGAGAGTTAATTCAGCAGCTCCTGCCTCTCCCAGGACTCCAGCAGCTGGACCCTGCAGCAGTTACTCACTCTGGGGAGTTTGGTTTGGCTCTGGGATTCGTCACACATCCTTGAAAGGTTTAGCCCTTATACGGATAAGGAGATTTTAAAAGACATTTCAACACATCAGAACAGCCCAGACTTTTCCAGATGCAGCACAGTGCCTGACTTCTGTCTCTGTGAGACAAATATGCAGACATTGAGTTCAAGGGTCCTCCAATGAAGTTCTCTTGTATGTTAATTGGGGATGAACAACACTCTTCTTACCACACTGCTGTCAGGATAAATCCATTAAAAACTGTGCCACTCTTTAAAACAAACACAATCCCTGCATAACCTGAGGGTGCTGAAAGCCTCTGCAAGGTGCAGAATGTCAACAGATCACCTGAAACTCTGCAAAACTGCCAAGCCTTGGGAAAACAGCCCTGTCACCACAGTGTCACCCAACCTGAGCTCTAAACCAGGGGAAATTTCACCAGTAACTCACACTAATGCACAGCACTTTGAGTGTGATAATAGCATTCAGCAATTATAAAATATCCCCAACTCTAAATCACATGTTCCAAATGCTCCTCCTCACTTATAAACCGGTTGCCTTGTAAAGAAGTTATTGAATGTTTCATCTGGTCTGCAGCTCTGGTGGGGTGAGTCTCACAGTGGCAAATGGTTCCAAGGCTGGGTTCCAGGAGGGCTCAGCAGTGACCCTCACACGTGGAACACTGAGCAGAGCTAACAGGGAGCAGGTGGGAGCTCCTTTAGGGCCCCACCTGCCACAGTAAATCCACGTGTCACAAGTATTAGCAATTAAACCTTCCCACTGCCTTCACATGAAGTACTGTTGATTTGGCCTGAATAATTGCCCTTTGCTCTATCCTTGGATTCAGTCACAGGGTAAGATGTTTAATGACTAATAATGACTGAATGAGATGTGATGGGAACATCCCCAAAGGGAGGATTTACAGCTGCTCTTGGCAATTAAAAACACTAGAACACATTAGTGTCAGAGAACATGACAGAAACAAGGCAAAAACCTCAGCCCTGCACCAGCCACGAGTGCTCCACCATCCATTCATCATCACTAGGAAATAACCAAAGTATTCTCAGGATATTTATAAATCACAGTTTGCTTAGGTTTGCAATTGACAAACTTATGGTACCCATAATGAACAAAATAAACAAGGGATTTTATAAAAGCAACAGAACTGACACTTATTTTCTTTGTCCTTTGGTACCTAAACTTTTGGAATACATCGATGTGTTTTCAAACTTTTCTTCACACCCCAAAATATTGATATACATGGTGGATTTCTTAACTGAAAGCTGTGACTTTCAGGAAAACCTTGAATTTTTACAGCTGGTGCTTTCAGAGATCCATAAAACCTCATGACACCCCTGATAACCATGTCAGGGGTTGCCATCAGCACAACTTTCATTTCTGAGCGCTGCCACGGTCACTGCACAAAACTGCTTGAGAGTAGAAAAGCAATAATTAGGATTATAGGCCAAAGTTTGCATCTTAATGCTACTTTACAGGTTTGCTGCCTAATCTGCACTGTGCTGGGATGCACTCATGTGCAGCTCCTGAAAGCAGGAATTTACAATTCTGGATAAAACCTGCAGCCATCAGTGCTCAACACAAGCAGGGCTGATGTCTGCTTCCCTTCACTGGCACCCCACGTTCTGCCACTGCCCCTGTACTGCCAGGGGACAGTGCCACACCACAGGAATATGTACAGGCAGCAGGGACAGCAGAGAAACTCAACATCAAAATAATTTCTCATGGCTGTGACTGACTTCTCTCAGAGTCCCAAAACCACAAAAACACTGCTGGCTGAACCCCACAAGGCAGGATGAAGTAAGCCCCAGTGAGGAGCTGTGGGCAGGGTTGCCCAAACCCCTGAGCCCTGCAGGGCTGTTCCAGCACTTCTGCCTGCCCAGCCTTTTGTCCCAGGTGGGGAAAGTGCAGTCCAAAGGGGAAGTAACACAAATAGCAAGTGCTGCCCTAAATCTCCCTCCAGCCCGAGGGCTGTCCCTTGCAGGGTATTTTCATGCCTTGGCATCAGCTGGGATACAGATGGCTGTGCAGTTACTCGCTGCAGAACTAGGTCAGCACTGATATCAAGGAAAAATAAAAATCCTGGGGTTTAGCCACCAAAACTATCCAAGTAACAGCAGCCTAATGGACAAAGTAATATCCCTGAGAGATCTCATCAACCCCACTCTTCACAGATGTGGCTGCCCTACCTAGTAACCACACCAGGACAGAAGACTAAGGCAGTGTCATTACTGACACATATTCGTTATTTTTTCACTAGAATCCAATAATTCCTACAGGAGTTAATCCTTTTGCATGACCTTATAACAGTACATAATCAACTTCTTTTTTTTTTAACACTGCCTATTATCTAGTTAATTTGTAATAGTTTATAGAAGAAAGGTTAACAAAGTCACTACTATTGTTCTAAGGCATCCTGATGTTCCATGGATCAAAGACAGGTCCCCGTGTTCCTTCAGTCCCTGGTTTAATACAAAATGTTCTGCAGCCAGAGCAGTTTAGGGGAGTTTCCTCTCCTCATGCTTCTTCCAAGGCTGGTTTCCCAATTCTCAGCACCATAAGCAGCTGCAAGGGACAGGGTTTTGGCAGTGTGGAGCAGAAGGAAGCAGTTATGTGCTGGGGAAAGCACACTTGCAAAAAACTGCCATAAATTGATATGGCTTCTTTTGGTCATGTAAATCTTCACTGAGAGTTTTGACTGAGTAAGGTTACATGATTTGTCCCTGTTAAAATATGTAAGGGTAGGTTTTTAGGGGGGAGCCATCAAATCATATCTGGAAGCCTCGTTAGAAAAGAAAACAAATATTTAGCCAAGCAAATTTTGTTTTTCCATGTGAAACCATGTTGTGAGCACATTTAAGTACTACACCAGCAGCATGTGGGCTCTTTGAACCCACTGGAAAAATCTTCAGAGAACATCCTATCACACAGCACTGTTTTCCCTTTCCGATTCAAGGGGCTGTACCAGCCTGGATAAGTGGTTTTAATTAATTGCACAGCTTTATATTTTTTTCTCAAAGCAGCTGAACTTCATTAAGTGTGGCTCACAGATCACCAGTGATCTCTGGGCCTCAGAGCAGAATCTGCTCAAGCCATTGAAATGGAAGTGAGTCCAAGCTGCTGCTGGAAGGAGAGAGATTGCCTTCACCCCTTCTCTCCCCTTCCTCCACACCAGCCCTGCTCAGCTCTAGAACTTGAGCTCTCTGAGCTGGTTCAGTTTGCTGATCTGGCAGAAGCTGATCAGGGTTTTTATTTATTTCCTGGTTTATTGAGCTTTTTAAAACTTATTTAATGGTTTATTGAGCTAGAAGAGTT